TACCTACTACCTACTACCTACTACCCTACCTACTACCTGCTACCTGCTACCTGCTACCTGCTACCTGCTATCTGCTACCTGCTACCTGCTACCTACTACCTACCACCACCACCACCACCACCACTGCTTTTTCTTCTTGCCGTTGTCACTGTTGGCTCTAGGTGTACCGAGCATCGTCCGACACTAGCGCAATGTCTGCGCCACTTTGTAAGCCTTTGTGGCTTTCAATATGCTCGCTGCGCCAGGTTATATGCGAGTAGCTCGTCCGCGACATTGGACTTTGCAAAGCACTGGGACGAACAGCATTGGGCCAAGCTAGAGCTGAGACTTTCGCGCCACCTTTGCTGAAAGCCGCCGAACTTACTTGGAGTTCGTGTAAGGATGAGGCAGGGGAACCCGCGCTACAAAAGCTTGGTGTTGCTGGACAACACACCGTGCCGGCCTCACTTTTTGAAGCATGGTTCGGGCAGTGGTGGCAGAAGTCGGGCAGCATGGAATGCTGCACCGTGCTGTCCAGGAGACCACCTTTACGTATTTCCCTGGAAGAGTTCGAGCATCTTGGCTTGTGCCGCTTACGGTGATTTCGCGCGAGGGGTTGCCGTTGTCGTATTGCTTGTAATAACCCCTGAAGACGCAAGGGCTCGGACGAACTGGCCATCAGCCGAAGCAGCGCAGCACTTCCAGCGGTTCCAGGCAAGCGCCAAGGAAGGATGAGGCGCCCATCCTGCAAACATGGCTGCCATAGCAGGTCAGGTATAAGGCTTCCCCTGGCATCCCTTTGCTTCAAGCCTTCAGAACTGGACTCAGGAGGTTTTGGACGAGACGCTGAGCCGCTTAGTCTCGAGATGGGCCCATACGTTTCGGGTTCATTGAGGAATGACCGAAGCGCTTGCACTGGGCTTCATTGGCCCTCTCGAGTCTGTAGCTTTCGTGGGGTCGAGCGCGGCCCTTAATCAGCACATCTGATCCTCCGAAGTTGTAAGGGATCGCTGCTCTCGCAAAGCGCACTCTACCACGGCCGAGCAAGAAGCCGGTAGAGTGTGGATTCCTTTCCTTGTGCAACAGACTGGCCTGGCCGGAGTCAGAATGTGACTGCTTCTGTTGAGTTCTCGAGAGAGCAGTGCTGAGCACACCGTTTTTTCTTCACTTGTCGACGCGCACTGCTCGGTGGCTCTGATATTGTTTTCTGATGCCGTCTAGCAACTTCGCTCCGAGCCTCAGAAGCGCTGTACGTTGACGATTCTCTTATGTCTGCAGGAGTGCCTTCCGTAACCCCGCAACCGGGGCAGCAGCAGATGCTCCGGCGTTGTGGCAGCGCATATTCCGCAGGTGTCATTTAGTGTGTAACTACCAGAATCGTTTGAGGATGCCAGCTGCCTGCCACTACGCCTTGTAGCAGAAAAGTGCCAATGCCTGGGTTCCATGTTCGTGGAATCGGTTCACCAACGGATCAATGATTCTTAAGTCAATTCGGCAGGGCTGTTACCCTTGTGGAACAGCTTTCGCAGAGTGGAGGCTGCAGAAGCGCAACTAACTCGACTGCCGTGGCTCGAGCGTAGCGGAACGGCGTGTCAAAAGCCAATCTGACGTATGGAATTTCAACTTCAGTCACTGTACTCAGGACTCAGGACAACTAATTTTGCAGATTCAGGGTTTGAGCCACGTTCTATTCAGTTCAAGCCCGGCTTATTGCCCTTAGCAGCGTAGCAGTTGCACTGCCACTGGCTTGGAGACGATTGGAGCCTTTCGGGCTCTGTATCTCGAGACTGGGATCCTCCGCAGAATTCCCTCAACCNNCCCCCCCCCCCCAAAAAAAAAATCCCAAACCTCAAAAAAACCGGCTACAGTGTCCACTGAGGGCACATCCTGCCAGGCAATTTTCTGAGACGAGTTTGAGTATAATCAGTTATAACGTTGTAGTTTTGCCTGGCATCTGTCTCGAGATCCCGTGCTCAAGGGACACGATGTATGCTTGCGCTAGCGTGGAAGAAAAATGCTAGAGGAGCTCCGTCTTACTCAATGCAATCGCCGCTGGCAAACTTGGAGGGCTATCGGGTCGTGCATGAACCACTGAATCGCATGTGCGGACTTCCTTCAGCCAGCCACCAGGAGCCCTTGCGGTCCCCAAGTCGCCTGAAGGCAGCGCTTTTGCGCATGTTCGGGTTTGTGCTGTTCGCAGCATCCTCTGCTCCTGAAGAAGAGCCAGGCGGAAGTCTGGCGTCCTTAGCCATGGTGCCGGTCAGTAGCAGGGCGGGTCTCGCCAGCGATATTGAACGCAGCCAGAACAGAAGGATCGTAGTCATCGCGTGCTCAGGCTGTTTGTCTGCATGCTTCAAAATTCTATACATGAGCTCCCCAACCCTGCCAGGCTATGCAGACGGCAGCACCCCCCACCGTTCGCGGAGGGTTTTGGGCAGTGTCCTCGTCTTGAGGGGCAGCGTACAGTCAGGCATCGATTTGCCGAGACCTGTGCGTGCCAAGACTGGACTTCGCTGCGGGAGGTTCCGCAGCCTTCCAAGGCTGTCACATCCGTGTTTTGGCCGATGCACGTTTGGATCCAAGTACTGTCTGATATGAACATAGTCTGCAGATCTAGCCACAGCCTCTCGGTAGGAGACGCGGCAGATTCCAAACCCGGCACCGGTGATCCTCACCTCTTCCAGGCCGGATGAACGTAGCGACAGGACAGAATGAGCTAGTATTGGTAGGCAGAGTTGCAGGCGTTGTGATATCCGAAAGCCGCTTACTGGCGCGCTGAGCCCGCAAGAAGGCCGCACACTTACGAGCGCATAGTTGATGAGACATCTGCACCTGCTTGCGCAAGGAAGTCCACCAAGTCCGTCAAGTCCGACCTCGTGCCGGGCTAAAGACAAGGCGGGTGCCAGCCGAGAAGGGCTGAGCGCAAGCATATAGTGCAGCGAAGTTGTGCAGGCGGACGCATTGCAGAAGGTACTGCAGCACACTGTGGAAGATGTGGCTCGCCGGTTGCTTGCTTAGACACGCTGAGACTTGGGCTTCGTTGGGGCAGCCCTAAGATCTTGCCGAAGCAAACAGACACGGTGCTGTCACACTGGCAGAAGCTTGTACTTCTCGAACACATGACTGGGGCTGTAAGGTTCTTTTCTCGGTCCGAAAAGCTGCTGGCGCCAGAAGTGGCAGAGGCAGTCAGTGACTATTCAGTGAAATTCTGGATTGGTTCATTGATAAGACAAGCTGTCTCATTGGAATTGACGATATCCATCCACGCAAGATTGATGTGACTGCAGAGCAGAATCGAGTGGCGAGGATGACGTCCCTCTCACACTGCCGGGTGGCGTTCCTCGCAGTAGCAGGACTGACTTCTTGGAAGCAAGCTGGGTACTTGTAGTGCAATGTTCATAGGAAGGTCGTGCCAGTGCCGTCCAGTCGCCGTGAGGACTGGCAGCGAGACGTCAGGCAAGAGCCAATGGCTGTGACTTGTACAGACCGTGGCAGAACCAACAACATAGCCATTTGCATTGCTTACACTTGCCAGGGCTGCCACGAGTTTCCAAACACAGCACCACATCCAGACTTGCTCGCCGTTGGAACTGGCACAAGCTCCGTAAGTCAGTGACTGAGCCCCTTCGCTTGGAGACGTTTCCATCTCTTCCCGGCCAGGTTTGGGTTCCAGCGTTGGTGACTCAAGCTGCCAGGCAAAGCGAGTGCCCGCGCTGCTGCAAATCACGAGTCTGCTGCCTTCTGGATGGTCCGCAAGTGAGTCGAGCCGTGACCTGATCGAAGGCAACACTGCCCATCCCAGGCCGGGACCTGAGCCCGTGACACCAGGCATAGCAGCACAGCAGCAGAAGCGCGACAGGCGAACAGGCGAGTAAGAAAGCAGTCTCAGAGTGTAGACTCTGTCGACAGTGTGGACTCTGTGTAGACATGCGTGACATGAGCTTGGGCACATCAGATGCAACCGACAGCCTCAGCCCCGGGAGGCAGAGCGATGCCAGACATCTCCAGCTCAATAAACACTGACAGGCTTTCAGACAGTTTGTGCTAGCCTCAACCAGTCACAAAGAGAGATTACGTGTGTGAGTGTGTGTGCAATTGTTGTGTGCTGTGAATCCGTCTGCTGGCAGTCCAAGAAGATGCTCAAGTTTCTTTGAGGGTCAAGTAGCACGGAAAGCGGGTGGCGAGCTATGCTTGCCGCACGACGCTCGATGGCTGCATGTAGCTGATGCCAGTCGCAGCCAAGTGTAGCGCGTGAAAGCAAAGAACATGTAAGGTGAGTATAAAGGCCAGTTTGCTTGTTGATCAGGGGCGCTCACCTCCTGCTTTGATGGAGTTCTCGACATTTTCCAAGATGTGCCAAGTTCTTTGGGTTGGGCGACCTCGCGCCTTGGCATTGCGTTCAGAAAAGAAGCGAGGTCACGCCCAGATGTCGTTTTAGAATGCAGTGCCATATATTACCATTCTACACCTGTGTGAGCCTGTTAATTATGTGGAATCTAAGGCTAGGAGGCGCGCTGGTTCCCGTTGGGGAGTCGGAGCCCCTTTCACTGACAGTAAAGTCAGGAAGTCCACCTCCAGATGCCTTGCTGCCTTGGGGGTTAAAAACTTTGGAGGATGACCTGTGAGGTTCGTATTATTTATTTAGTACTATCTATTCAGAAATAGACTTATACTACTTAACTAATCGAAAACAGTGTACGAAAGCGCCAGAAGTCAGGGCATGGCAGCAGAACCATCCCAGAGCCATGCAAGTTTCATGTAAGGATCTGGTCGGCGCATACATGCGGGTTGGTCCGAATGCGCAGTACTGGCCGCCGAAGAAGCGCACACATGCCTTCGATGGAGCCCAGTCCTCAGTCTCAGCTTCCTTTCGGGCCATGCTTGTACGCCGTGACCTCACATTCCTGCAGATCCGCCACAACTTAGCAGGTTTCACTGTTGCTACTGTTGTTGCTGTCGTTGCCGTTGTGGTTTTTCTTCTTGTTTCTTCAGATGCGGCGTCGTTGCCGTAGTCCTGCAAGCCCTTGCTCTTGCTGCTGCTACTTCTGCTCCTCCCGCTGCTGTTGTCGCTTCGACGATGACGATGATGGCGAGGTGGCCATGATGCAGATCGAAAACGATGATGGCAATGATGCTGACCATCGGTAATTGTGGTAATTATTTTAGTTCCCATGGTCATGATCGTGACGATAATGGTAATGCTGCCACGATTGGAGCTCCTCCTGTTCCTGCTGCCGTTGCCGTTGCGGTTGCTGCTGCTGCGCTGCTGCTCCTGCGGTTGTGGCCCCTTTGGTTTAAATGAGAAAACTCTCCTCCAGCAGCAAGTAGCTTGTTTTCGGCTGCCAGAGCAGATGGATTTGGTGTTTAACACTCGCAGTATTCCCTGCAGTATCTGCCTGATGGCTTCCGCGCAAATTTCAGAAAGGAACGCTGTGGGGTCCCTGTTTTTCGCACACAAGTTTTTGCAATGTTCTGTGGATTGTCGCACAAATTTCCGTTTTGGAATGATTTCAGACTTCTTCCGTACCACGAACGGTGTAATATGTACACAACTAGGTCATCATAGATCCTCACAAAATATGATACAACACGACAAAACGCTATCAGAAAAAGCAATTGAAAAGCAAACAATGGCATCATTTTGTTTGTTTTATTTATTCCATTTCTTGCTTTTTTATTATTCCCTCCCCCCCCCCCCTCCCCAGCCCTCCAGGCCTCCAGGGAAGGTCTGGATGCCACAAGCTTCGGGGGCCCTCGGCCACTCTGAGCTTACTTTCGCTCCCACGTGTGCACTCCCCTAGCGGCTGACATGCGAATTCCCGGCAATTTATATACTCATCTAGATCCAGGTTCATCTAAGTTTTGAATATGACATATGATAGAGAGATCTAGCTTAGTTCGAAACTATAGACCTTAAGTTTGACCCACCATTGTCTACGTGAAGTCAGCCCGGCAACGACACAATTTGGTTTCATCGCGGTAGCATATTCACAGTGCATCGCATTCCGAACGCGGCGTTATCACACATCACATTGGCAAGTTCGCAATCCAACATTGTCATCATGCATGCCAAAATCAAATGGTGTTAGTTGAATGAAACCAGCAAAACCGATATATCTAATGATGTTCATACTCAGGTCTTGAATGTCATGCTACAAATCTAGACTTTCCGAAGCACTGCTGTACCACTTGCGAAGCAAGTCCCAAACATGTTATATGTGCAAGTTTTCCATCCAACATACATTTAAGGTAGAAGCGGTGGCATGTCCGTTCCAACACTGATGGCAGAGAATCGTAACTAATAAAAGGTGATAAACAAGCTTCCACAAGGTATCTGTACTATATATACGGGCAGAAAGCCACAAACATGAACGAGTGTGGTGTTGCTGTCATGACGTTATTTGTGCGTATGCTTCGCACTACATACAGGGAGGCAGCGAGAAATATGGAAACAAGGTTGGGAGAGACATGCATCAAGTGCAAGGTGTTAATGTTGCGGTATACATCCATCCATGTGTGCAGTATAGGGACCAGGACTTATACAGCATGTTGGCAGGCAGTGAGCTCGCCCTCCGTCTGTCTTATAAGAGGTTTGGTCATGGTTGATGTTGTCCTAGTCATATTAATATAGGCATACAATGCAAAAGTGAAAGTACGATACTTGTGGCAACATAATTGAAAATGACAGGTTTTAGAGGGAAAACCTTTAGTTCTAGACCACGGTCTCCTATCGGATTTGTCTATACAAGTCGAATGCATGTAGATACAGACTTTTGTTCGCGACGTGTCAAAGTTGCTTTAGAAGCCCTAGGAATCAGCAAAATTAATCCTGTGGACTCTAAAGCTCCCATTGAGGGCATAAAATGGGTTTCTACACATATGCTGCGAACATCTACCAATGTCTTTACGAAAGAGTACTTCTTCGTCACTATTCAAGCTAAAGGGAACCCCATCGAAGGCCACGGGCGTGCAGATTTGGATGCATGACGCACTGTTGCAGAGCGGTCAGTAGAAACTCAAGCTCAAAAGGGTCTTCAAGACAGCAAAGCATCTTAATGTCAGAGTGTGTGCATAGGGAGGGGGGAGCTTGTCCAGTACATACTCCAAATCTCTAAACCAATATATATATATATAACTTATATATATATATATATATATGAAAAGGTTACATTTAGTATATGCGTGACAAGGTCTTAGGTAGATGGGACATGCACAGACACCGATTACTGTGTTAGGAGACTATCTGCAATGGTCCTAGCTACCCGGTGTTTCTATTCATGAGGGGCTCGTCAGAATATGTCTCTATGAGACCCCAAATTCCTCTGGAAGACACATGCTGTGGGGATTGACAATGGACAGTAGGATTCATACTTGAGTTTAAGCAGTGATATGATACAGGAGCTTTATGAGCAAAACCATGACACGTAGAGACACTCTTCCTTCGTAAAACAAGCAGTCGATACCACTGTCCCCGCCACAAGCTGTCTTGTAGAAGCTATGAAGAGATGCGTGTGGTAATGTAGCTTGTATGATAAGCATGCACTCCCACAACATCCAAGTTCAAAGTTAAGATGCCAAGTTGGTTCCGAACCGTAGTAGTAATAACAAGCTGCAAATCTAGTTCGCCTAGACGATAGGGATGATTTGCATAAGTGTTACATACATGTTGACTTGCAAGTTTCAGAAGCAATACGATTAAAACTTACATACTGTAGTTAAATGAGAAACAATGCATATACATGCAAAAAGCATGGCTCTGATCTATCATATGTGGCGTTATGCTGAGACCATATGGAATGACGAAAACCGATTAAATACGAATTGGTTTGCATGTGAGTGCGCCTGCTTGTGTCGCACCACCCTTCTATTTCAGCAGTGATTTTTCTTATAAAACATGCGAAAATACAGTAAATATGCGGGCCCCAGGCGCTCTATTAGGGTCGACCGACCAGCTTGAGCTGGGTTTAATGCGAATCAACAGCGGAGGGGCACGTTGGCCAGACTTCAAACGCTAGCGGAGTTCTGTAGAGTTGTGCAATGGACAACACCAAATCCGACCGCCCATAAGACGGACAACACCATCTTGTGGATTTGCACTTGGTAAGCTTGCCCTGTGCCGTAAGATTCCGTTATTCCATAATCTGCTACCTCAACCGGCTGTGAAGAAGGGAGCCCCACGAGGCAGCCCCTTTTAAAGGACTCTTCCTTCCCAAAAACGAGCACAGCAGTGCCTGGTAGGGACAGAGTCACCTCGAACGGGGGTTCCCTTCGCTTGTCCACGTCCGAGGACGGAATGGTTCACTCGGAAGCTTGGCTCAACAAGGGTGCTAAGAGAACATGAGGAGCTTTCTACCTTGGTAAGGCACAGCTTCCTAGTGCGTGCAACAGGTTCGCCTCTCCGAGGGCAAGGCTGGAAGTGATGTTCCTTTTGAGCCGTTAAGAGATTATACTATAGTAGGTATAGTATAATGCTATATAGTAATATAGTAACAGCACAGGCATCCTACTGCTGCAAGTTCATGGAGACGCCTCGATACCTCTTCGAGAAGGAATACGGCAAGGAATGGTTTACACGGATCGGAGAATTCCATGGCTTTGCTGGCCTCATCAAAATCTTGGCAACCGTGGCTCGCTTGCAAGAGGGAGAGCTGCTTGCAGAAAGCCAGTTTAGACAATCGACCGAGGTCCCGAAAAAGACGAAGCTCACCAATCTGCAGCCCAATTTCGACGCCTCGACGGCCAATACGGCCATAGGACTGCGATCGGGACCACCTGTAGAACCTGACCCTGTCCATTTCGCAGTCTGGCCTGTTTACTTGTTCACCCAGTCAGTGGTGTTAGCAGTGTGCTGCTAGGTGTGTAGGGAATGGAGGGGCAAAGAAAGAGATCCCTCAGAGTCCTTCTTCTTCTTCTTCTTGTTCTTGTTCTTCTTGTTGTTGCTGCTGCTGCTGCTGCTGCTGGTGTTGTTGTTGTTGTTGCTGTTGTCGTCGTCGTCGTCGTCGTCGTTGTTGTTGTTGTTGTTGCGAGAGTGTGCGACTCGGTGTCTGTGTGCAATAGGTTTGCACGCGTGTCGGTCGCATTGCACTCAGATTTGATTTGCAGCTTTGCACAGTGAAGTATCAGGGCAGTCTGGCGGCGCAAGATGCGGGAGCCGCCCGAAGCTGCGTTAGGATCCCTCACTTGAACTCTGGGCGTTGCTGGTTTTTCGAGCTTGCGCTCTTTACTTTTATCATATGTCTACTTGCAGTTCTTCGGCCTTTAGTCCCCGTAGTCGCCCTTGGAGTCGATGCAGGATACACTCCGGAAGGAAAGCTTTGGGCACTGAACGAGGGCGGTGCACCATTCCAATTCGCATTAGATGAGGCCGGTGACTGGAAGCTTTCCTTGCCGACATGATCCGACATGTCTCTCTGACATGAGGCCGGTGTTCCACGAAGTCTGGGCTTCGACTCCTTGGGGGGAACCCTTCGAGAATCCATTTCTGTGGCTTGGATATGTCAAAGACCAGAGTTTGCAGTCTCTGACTCCCGGTCGTTGCATGGGCCAAGCTTGAGGCAGGTGTTCTTCAGTGAGCATCCTCTCCTGCTTCGGCTGCATCTTGCGGCTTTGCCAAGGCCCACCCGAAATTCGACCTGCGGACCGGAGAGACTTTCTTTCATGGGCGAAAGCTTGCTGAAAACCACTTCTACGCAGGCCGCATGTTCAACGGCAGCCCGACCGTTTGCTTGGAGGGTTGCTGTTCCAGTCTGTGTTTTGTGTCTGCATATGTGCGGTCAGAGTCCCAGCGTAGAGCCCGTCCTGCCTATGGATTCACAAGGTAGGCTGGTGGACCGATTGGATGTGGAGTTGAAGGTGCCAGGATTCCACCATGACATGTTCATCACGGAGAACTACATGGTTCTTGTCGATGGATCCACCCGCTTCACGCCAGAGGGAGTTGTAAAAGGGCAGCCGCTCTGGAACTTCGACCAGGCAAGGACAGGTTCAAGGGTTCGGGGGTCAAGCTTGTTCGCTCTTGTGAAACATCACCTGCAAAAGGTAGGCAGAGGTCCGGTGCATGTAGGCTGTGAAAAGAAAGGGGCTAGCCTTCGAACGTTGTTTCTAGTCGCAAAAAGGCATGCAGTGAGGACTCGTCCAAATGCGAGCTTGTAATTCGGGCTGGCATCCGCAAAGAGCCTCGGGAACCGAAATGGCAGCAGCCGAGAAGGAAAGGTGGGGCTCAGGCAGCTGAAACTCCCTGTCAGGCCAGGAACCTACGCTTTGGCATCCATCCGCGGAACGAAAAGCTGTCTGCAGATACCCGGCCCTGCCAAGCACATGAGCAGTTGGCTCCTCTTCGAGGGTAGGGCAGTACCGCATTGCTCTGGCACATGTGGAAAGAAGTAGACTGGTTTTCCGCAAGATCGAGCTCCCGCAGACTGGCATCTCAGGAGAAATTTGTATGGGTTGAGGCGAAAGAGCCTGCCGAGATGCCTGGTCTCATTTAGACACAACTAGAGGTCGACCCTAAGACCCTGAGACCCTACCTTGCGATTCTGAGGATTGTGCATACCTGCTATGCATATGATGAGAACGGCAGAATCATTCTGTGGTCTCCGGTTGAGTTCTACGAGGATCCGAGTACTTCGCTTTGGGCAGAAGCTCTTTGAAGTTTGCAAGAGACTTGTCTCCCGCTACAGGAGGGTGCCGTTGATGGAATCTTGGGAGGGCTTGGGCCTGGACGCATGCATCGAGTTGTTATCGATATTGTCTCCAAAAATGCAACTTGCCGGATACTGTGCTAACAGACGCCCTTTTGCTGGATGTTCAACGCCCAAGCAAACCTTTGTGTTCTGCGCAAGGTCCAGATAGAGAAGGTGACGGGAGGGGACGAGCACATGACAGAGTTCCCTCGCATTAGAGACGATCGCATTGGCAAGCGGGCCTGCCACCCTGCATAGTCTTTGTGTGCAGTGCATGGCTGCGAATCTTGATGCATGAAACCCTCGACAACTTGCCAAGATCAGCGAGTTGGCATAGGTGCGACATGGTTACTCCGCGCTGCAGATTCCTGGATGATGCTCGGCTAGTTTTCGTTGGAGGTTGGAGGCACTGAAAGCCAGAAGTTTTTGGAGCTGAGGCGACTTCAACTTCCGAGGAATCCTGAAGTGGGACTTCGAAGAATGCAAGCTGGACGGCGTGGCTTGGTAGCTGCTGGTAGTATGAACGTTTCGTCTTAGAGGTATGGACAGGTTTGATCAGGGGCTCTTGGCGTTGCATGGACAGCCTCGAGATGGCGGGGAAAAGCTGTAAAATTCCTGGCTTGGAGCACTTGAGCCTGTCTGAAGCCACTCCTCGGAACTGGCGTCAGCATTGTTCCACGGCACGGGGGCATGCACAACACAGTCACGAGTCGAGACAGTTCAGGTGATTCGATATCCTGATGATGTTGTCGGAGGCGAGCCCATTTTTGCACCTCGCAACGGTACGGGCGAGGAGGCGCGCGCATCTTGCAAATATACTCTGTGGTCTCTCTCGTCTTCTGTATAAGTTGGGCAATATTCCGGGATTACTCCTGCAGTCTCTGTCTTTAATAGTTTCCGCTCGTCTGGAATGCACCCTCCCCCGACATGAACGTCGTTCCCGGCCGACAACGTTTCATTGTTGTGCAACAAGCTTGGATCATGAGCCCCAAACGGTAGGTACACAGCACAAGCTGCCGTCAGTCCAGTTCCGAGATGTTCCAAACAATCCCTCAAACAACCAGACCCTCGACGAGCTAATTATCAACAGTACGACTGATGGTAAACAAGGCCTAAGTAATTAGTGGTATATTTCCTTAGGGATACTTAACATAGATTCTGTAATGTACCCTAACACTAAATCCCTGCTCCGACTTTTGAGGCACCCAGATTGGCAGCATTCGTCAGGGGCGGGCTTCCAACACCTTTAATTCGGTTTGCAGCACCGGAGCCGAACATGTTTGTGCCAATATCTTGTGCATAGAGGGGCTGATGGCTGTTTTGAATTCCTATTCGCAACAATCGCCGCTATTCCTGATCGTTCCTGCTGGTGGCCGTGGTTCTTGTTCTGCTCTGCCTTTAGCAAAGAACCAAAGCATAGGAAAAAGGGTACCCTTATTATTTAGGGGCTACTGGGGAACCTAGAAAGAACAGGATGATGGCTACATGGTGGCTTTGCTTTTCAACGAGAAGACCCAGGAGTCGACCTTCGCGGTCTACGATGCAACCCAGCTCCGAAGAAGCGCCGGTCCTTCTGTTGGCGTGGGATATAGTAATAATATCGGGGCCTTAATAATTGCTCATACTGTTTTGGATAATATACCTCAAAACTCTATTCTGATTATTGAGGCCCCCTATATTGGTGTTGTCGTGCTGGATACTCTTATGTGCACGCGCGCGCGCGCGTGTGTGTGTGTGTCTGTATGTCTGTGGGTACGTACCAAGTAAGTATGCATGTACCCACGTATGTCATGTACGCAAGCAGTGTTTGCAATCATGCGTTGAACCAGAGACCAAGTGCCCATCGAGATGTGCGTTCTTCAGTTGCGTCTTTCGATCATCAGTCTTAGGTGCATGTGGTAGGGGGTTTCAGTCTCAAGGCCAAGACCTTCTCGTCGACGCCCGTGGTTGAATACTCGGTGCCGCGACGGGTGCCATTGGGCTTCCATGCCATTTGGCTGTCCGAGGCACAGCCGGAGCCTTGGAGCCGAAAGCCAGGCTAGCACTAGGAAGAATCCACTTGACTTCAAAAAGAAAGGCGGCTGTGTCTCAGGTTTCAGAAACAGCTCCTTGGCTGATGCTGATCAAATGCGGAGGTTTGCGGGTTCTGGATCTGCGTGCCTGTGCATGCCTGTGCTCAAGATCCGAAAGCCCAGGCTGCAAACGCTCCGGGCGTGAGACTGATGCTGAAGCTCACCTAGTTTCACCGCATACAGGTCCTAGGCTTGACGCGCTGTAGCGCACGGCGCTCGCTTTCGGATGGGCAACCACCGTGCCCTGAAGGGACTGTGTGTACAAAGCTAGCAGCTCGCATTGATTCTTGCGGGTCTTCCATTCATACCACGAGATTTTCCGTTCTTGCTGGTTTTGAAAACGGCGACATCGACTAGCAAAGCCTATATTTCTTTCATCACCACGTCGTAAAGTCACTTCTTAGCCGATTCGATGAATGCTTCCTCAACGGAGCCCAGGCAAAGCTCCGCAATCTTCGAAGCTCTTCCGAGTACTCCAACGGAGGTGCAGGAGCTTCCCTGCGGTAGAGCAAAACTGCTTGTGAACGACTCAGGATCTTCGGAGCAGAGGCTTCGTGGATAGCCCAACTTCTACTCAGGCCCCAGTCTCAAATGAAAGAGCGACAGAACCGCATGAGCCTCCCGGCAGGGCCTCTCACCGGCTCGGCGGCAGGTGCACGTGGCTCGAGGTGCCATTACGTAACAAGGGATGTGGCAGAGACTTCCGGTAGTCCCACGTGCTTGGTCCAGGCCGGAAAGCAAGGCCCCACGAAGAGGCTGCTCACATATCTTGGCGCATGATGATGGTAAACTGAGCCTGCGTGCTGAATTTCTGACCTGTGCATCTTTGCAGATGGGCCTGTCTCTACCTTGTAGGACTCCACGCAGCAGCAGCAGCAGCAGCAGTCCTGACCTCGGAGCACTGCTGGGTCTGTCTCGGTCATTCAGGCATCCGTGATTCTGGATCCGTGGTTCTGATATGTCCTGATCGTGACTGCGTGGCTCAGCTTCTGGATGGAGTGAGCTGAGGCTTGTCCGACGCTGGGGCCGATGTGCCAGTGGGGGGTCACAGAGATGCCTTGGCTGTCCGCAGACTTTGGGCATCTTTGGGCATCCTGAGTCTCTCGTGACAAAGGATCCACTAACTCTGGGTTTCATTGATTAAAGAGACGACGGGTTGTGATGTTCCAGGAGGTCGTTTACCCTGATGCTGATTCGCTGCTGAAGCTGACGTGCCGCTGAAGTCGAGGTCGCTCTCCTTCCAGGGCGCCGCGTGGAGAGGCTGCTTCGTCCTTCTCAGAGCCTGACATGAGCCCCAAAATCTCAAAATGTGCAACCAAGCACGACGGCAGCGGAAATTGTTGGACTGCCAGGAGATGGAGCCCAAGCCAACTTCACGTTCCAAGTCTCTCGGGAGGCCTGCAGTTGGTCTTGGCACGTACCACGTCTTCTTAGGCATGCCACAAGACATTGCTTATTCTTCATCGTGTTTCATTAATTCGCACATCGCCGTGGCATCTGCATAGCCCGAAACCTCGGGGTTTGCTCTGGAGCACAGGACTAGGTTTGCAGTGAAAGCAAGATTTTGGCACCTTATGAATTGTCGAGATGTTGAAAGTTCGTAAAAATCAAGTGCATCTTTGGAATCCTACGTCCTACGTGCTGAACCTTCGGTCTCAACACTACTGGGGCGGCGGAGAGGTCGAGAGAGGCCCAGAAGAAGGGGAGTCGCCTCCAAAGATTTACAACCTTAAATGCTGCCGTCGCGGAGGGCTCAAGCTTCGCTCCCGGAGCCCGGACACCATGGCTGTGGCCCAAAGTGGTGGCCTCTTTGTAGGGGTGCGCCAGGGGATTCTGGGAAAGAGCCTCGCGAGACCTCATGCTTCCAGAGCTGCTCCAAGGAGTGAAGCCGCAGAGAGTCCAGGATCCACTAGCACATTTTCAATGGTGCTTCAGATGACATCCCTCTTGACCATGTCCTGGGCTTGCTTCCGGCGCAAAATTGTCAAGGCCGGAGCGCAGAATCGCCGTAATGCAGTCGTGGGATGCCTCTCCACCGCCATCGCCACGCAACCGCTGCAACCGGCAGCGGCAGCCGAGTGGTGCGAAGGATCGGTTTTCAATGGCTCCTGGACTATTCCCGAGTCGCTCGGTGGGAAAGCCAGCATCTCGGTTCGCGACGGCACGGCAGTCATCACGGGAAGCAAGGGTGGACAGAAGTGGGAGCTTCGCTCCACAAACATTCAGGGCGCACCACTTGTTTTTCGGATTGCCGGAGTGCAGCGGCAGTTTTGGGTGGATTGGAGGCCACTGGGTGGACCGACGGAGCTGCGTGGGGTATGGCAAGGGGGTATGTTGGACGGACCCTTGGCAACAGGCCCTCCAGAAATCAGGTGGGACGATGGCAGCAGGTGGCGCAAAGTCAGTTGCGACGCCGACTGAACGGCAGAGGCAGTGTGAGCCATGACTATGAATCGTTTCAGAACTCGCTGGTCGCAGCGCTGCTTCCGGCCAGCCTCTTTGCCAATGTTGCAAGGGACCCGATAAATCCACTGTGACCTGTTGATGATGACTTGTTGACAGAGCTTTGCAGCGTGGCACAGAGGGCTATATCACGAAGCACCCCACACGTGATGAGTGTTTACATGTCGGCTGCTGCAGCCAGGCCAAGAACTACTTCAATCCGATCTCCGTCGGGCCACGACCCCGGCAGCACATCGCAGGGTCTCAAGTCTCACCCGGCTGACGCTGCCTCAGGTGCTTTGGATTCGCCGTCCAGCTCGCATCACAAGCCTGTGGCCCATGATGAGGGATCAGTGCCGCGAGCCCACACGATGTTTCAATCGCTGTCCGGCCGAGGAGTGTGAGCTTTGCAAGTTCGAGTCGCAAGTCCGTGCCAGACTCCCCGACTCAAGGCCACCAGAAGATACCAAGTTCTACCCTTTTGATGTGATGGGATGCTTCAGAGTCCGCTTCTTCGCAGGCCATCATAGCCCGTCGAAGCGGCCGGGCGCAGCCAAGTCTCTTCAAATTCCAAAGTCACCAACAGCGGAATCAGGAATGCGAGGATCTACGGGGTTGAGGGAACTGAAGCGAGACATAGATTCTAGATGGTGCGCTTGTGCCCCCTCCTTTCCGAACAGCCCCCCGGGCCCTGACTTGCATGTCGCATCTATGCTGATCGTAAAACAGCAGTAGACCTACAGCAGTTGCGTTGCGTGTTCTCGGCAGTGTCAGTTCCGTATCTTGAATCTGTAGCATGGCAAAACACGACCGTTTTCACGCAAGCTTGACTGGAATCCTTGAGCCGAACCTGGGCTCTTGTGAGGACAGCGGAGTGGAAGCTTTTCGCGACTTCCCGGAGAGACGCCGGATGCAGGACTTGGTCCTTTCGCAGTCGAAGACTACATGAGAGTGAAAGCATCGGTTTGACTTTCTCTGCAGGGCGCAAGCATCCGTCAGCGAAGAGATCTTTGCTGGCCAGCTCTGAGTCTAATCCCGAGCCATCTTCTCCGGAAGGATTCCCTTCGGAAAACATGCATTCATTGCGAGAGCGAGTGCGAGCGCTTCATCATGCTGTGAGGAATAGAAAGCATGTGAGGCCGCCATCATGAGAAGATGCAACACTCAAACTCCTCGNNCCCCCCCCCCCCCCCCCCGGAACTGAAATGCACCGCAGGAAGCAGCAGAAGCTACACTTTCTCGAGGCGGCTGCGCAGCCCATCCTCAGACCGCAGAGGGCGCGACGGTCGCAACTTCTCTCCGACACTGCAAGAGCGGACATCCACAGCGATCCATGCATTGGAGCATGGCATGGAGCCTCCTGGAGCCTCAGACAAGTGGCGCGTGGCTCAGCTCTTCTGCGAGCTTGTCCCGCGCTCCGTGGCCAAGATTCAACGCATCGAACGCGTGGTCACTCCTGAGACGTACGGGAAGTTCATGCAGAAGACGGGCACCGGGGAAAACGCAAATGAATTTGGAATCGTTTTCTTCACGCCAAAGGATGCTGATGAGTTGAACCGAGTTTGTTCTCATGGCTTGGCAGGGCGGTCTCCTGCAGCTCGCGTGGTGTCAGACTGCGGAGCAGCCCTTGAGAACCAGTTGCGAAGCGAGGAGCCAGGGAAAGTACTGGATGTGAGATCGATGTGTGTGCTGTTCTGTGGACCAGAGGTGGCCAGGTCAAAACTGGGAGGCGCCAGCGATCGTCCAAAGGATGTTGTTGAGTTCGAGGTGGAAGATGCGAGTCACTTTCTTCCAGCGTACACAATTCACTACCAAATTGTGGCCGACGAGCCCTCCGACCATGCAGAGTTTCGTTTCCAAAGCCCTTCTCCGGAACATGCACGCTCACCTTCCCGCTCGCGCCGGGTAAGTGTGCGAGATCCCTTAGTCCAAGGAATCCTTCAGAGGCTGCCGGAGTTGGGGGATGATGTTGCAGGTACCGTCTTACTGCCCAGCAACTCCCCAGAGGCTGAAGCCGTTATCTCTTTGTATCTTCAAAGTGGCGGAGCTTCCCGACTTCGAAGGCCGCCTGGAGTGAACCTTCGCGAAGCTTTGGGAGGGGTCGTCGTTCAACGCATCGAAAACAAGATGCTTGGCCTCGAGTATCTCGATGTTGAGCTGGAGGCAGCAAACGGTCCCCGATTCCGGGAGGATGTAGTCTGGCATGGAACCCGGCTGAAGCGTGCTGATGAAGAGGCCAGCTTGGCCCACAAACTCCAGTCCATAGCAGAGCACGGCTTCGATCCTCAACGCTGCATCAAAGGAGCTCATGCAGCCGGGGGGATCTGGCTCGCTGCGAACCCCATGGAATCCTTCGGGGTGGGAGGAGATGGACTGGTTGCCTTTGTCCTTTGCCTTGCTAAGACGAATTTCAATGAATGGGTAGACACCTCCTGCGCCCGAGTGCTGCAGCGTGAAAGAGTCTTACCTCTTTATTCTTTAGTGCATGTGTAGTGCGGTCGGCCCTTGATTCTTATCAGGCTCCAAGATGAGATCCTGCATCCTGTTGACAGGTGCACTCAAAGAGTGCATCTTTCGGCAGTGTGTGCTTTTCGATTTTAAATTTTGCTGTCTGCCAAGCAGTCAGAACCTCTTGACCTTTTAGCAGCCAAAGAAAGCCGCAAAAGACTTGCCAGCTTGAGGTTGGACAACCAGAACAGCTGGTCCAGGCTGGTGGCTTCCCGGGATAATTTCTGCCACTCCAACGGAAAGCATCAAGAAATCGCACTGGTTTCACATGCTGCAGGCATTTCTGACTAGCATCGTGGAGGTCGCGGGCAAGCTTGGCTGTTGTGCGACCGGTTTTTTTGCTCAGCTTTCTGGCTATTTCCAAACCGACGGCCCCTCATGTGTACAGAAACCGTGCATTCTGGTAGGTCTGACCTTCTGGCAGCCCGTAGATATGAAAGCATGGACAGTATCTGCACGATACTGGGCAATGAGCAGCCCTCCCGAGATTCGGTGCCGTGTTCCGAAAGACTCTTTAAGTGTTCTTTTAGCAGTGTTCGGAGGCCCGGATCATGGCGACTGCTACCAGGGAAGCAGAGGCCCCCATGGAGAGCCCCCAACGCAGCTGGGCGGCGGAGCCCCCACGCAGCGCGAAGGCCATCTTCCACAAGCACACCACCACAGGACCGGTTAAAAAAAGGCTGCTTTGAAGGGAGTCTCTCGAGCAGCATGAGTAGCTGAGGGGCTCGGTCTTCACGACATAGACTCTCTCAGGCAGAAGTGTGCTGTCTTGCTCCCCTGTTCCTTGCGAGAAGGAACCTTTATTCGACCTATCACCGCACCTTCCGTCACAAGTGATGGCCTCAGACGACGGGTTGCTACAGTTTAGCCGTTGCTGTTCTTGTCAAGTACTAAAGCTGCTCGGCGCACCATCCGCGCGACATGGTCGGTGAAGCGTGGGCTTGCTTCAACAGACAGAAGGATTGTGGTGCGGCCTCCCGATCGATGCAGCCTTAGAAGCCTAAACACCCTTGCGAGTCAATTTCAGATCCCCGCCATGCACGTTCCATGCAGACAGGCGGCCACATCTTTGTAAAGTATGTATATGTGTACGGTGTATATATATATATGCATTGAAAATGTATGTGTTTATGTATGTATGTATGTTGTATGTATGTATGTATGTATGTATGTATGTATGTATGTATGTATGTATAGGTATGTAGTTATGTATGCAAGTCAGTCGTTATGTATGTATGCATGTATGTATGTATGTGTTTCGGGTTGTGCCGCAGCCGTATGTTGAACTTCCGATATTCGGCGAGCATGTGGACATGCATCATGAATGATGCCAGCTGAGCACAATCATGACATATATATATATATATACATATATCTATATATATATATCTATGTATATATATATATAGGGGATCATGTCCGGACAGTGGTCACTACACGGCCCTGCTTTACACCATTGATCAGTCGGCTGTTCATCATGCTGATGATGGCCATCCCGCGACTTGAATCACGGAGCCGCTGCAGTTGAAACCTATCGGGATTCCTATATCTTCTTTTACTCGAAGTGCCTGTGCTGTGACCATGCCCCGCTGCTGGACGCTGGACACTACTGCCGGGGGCAGCCAAGTCCGAGAGGACGCACATATGAGCAGCACATATGCTGGGTCAAGCAAGACCTGTCCTCATGTACGTTAGCCGAAGCTGGACCTTGAGTAACGAGGAAAGAGTATGTATGTGTGTACGTATGTATGTATGTATGCATGTATGCATGAATGTATGAATGTATGAATGTATGAATGAATGAATGTATGTATGTATGTATGTATGTATGTATTGTTACGATCGGACTGTTTGTCATCCCTTTCCGGGGCTTCAGAGAGGACGGTATAAGTTTCGATGCAACTTGGCCTTGAACCTTTTACTCTTGCTGCTAGCGTTACGGTTGCATCCGACGCTTGCATTGTTTCTCGAACAAGTATCCTACGCTGCAATCGAAACGATACCTGCATGCTTCATGCAGACAAGCACGAAATTGACACCCGGTCAAGAGCAGAAGAATGCCAGATGCTATGCATAGCTTTCCCATTAACCCACTTCCGTGCTGCGGTGTGCTGTTGCTCAAAAGCTGCCTGTCTCAGTTTTAGCTGAAACACGGCGTCTTTCATTTTGCATGGTGGTCATGAGGGCTCGCGTGCGCAGCTTTCGCAAAAGCATGTACTGCAGCGTTTGTAGTGGAGCCCTTGCATGTTGACTCCCTCCGGGCTGGATCATTTGCCGAGGATTCGATCCCGTGCCGGGATTGCCAAACTTGGTGCAAGGTGTGCCAGCCAGCCCCCGCGGCAAGCGTCTTGTTCCTGCTGCCCACAGGCACCCAGTCTTCGAGCTGTAAGGAAAACGAGCTGTACGGTGCTGCTACTTCCTGTTCTGCCGCTGCTGCTGCTGCTGCTGCTGCTGCTACCAACTTTACACTGACACTTTAGCTATTGCTGTGCTGCTCGTACGACATCAATGACGGCGTCAACAGCCACAACGACGACTACCACTATATGATTGAGGCTACTACTGTTGTTTTCTGGTACAATGGTGACCTTGACGGCATGTTGAAAAGCAGGAATCTTCATAAAGCGTCGTCGGCGCAGAAGATAAACAGCAACGACGAAGGTAAAGATTAGCCCTACTCGTAACGAGCCCATGAGCGCAATGGAGAACACTGACATCATAAAAGTTCCAAACGTATTCCTACATGTGAAGGTCTTGAAGCTGTCAGAGTCGAAATAAACAGATCCGAGATGGTGTTCATTGTAGTCGCCCTCACTATGGCTTTCATCGAAAGCAGTCATACTATGCCAATCGGAAGACCCAGAAGAAACGATAACAAGAAGAGGTCACAGCCTATCCATGGACTGCTTTGCAGGATGCCTGCGATCCCAGTGAAAGGCGCCACTGCGAACGGCCCGTGGGCAGAGTGCCGCGGTGCCACTCCCAACGAAAGAATGCGGCGAGCGGTGACTTGACTTTTCATGGCTGTAGCGGTTTTGAGTTGTAGTGTTGTTACTGGTACTGTTTTTTGTACAAGCACTCTGGGAAGCATTTCGGGCCTAGCAGCTAGCAGCTCGGGCGTTCAGCAAGTGGTAGCAGTCGTCGTGGTATTGCTTTTGGCTTTGGGTCTTGTGGACTTGGATGGCGCATTCTGGATTCCAGTTATCGCTCTATAGGAGTTCATCTCTTGCTGGTTCATTCTCCGATCTCTGCATTGGCACAGGCTTGGCCTCGACAAGGCACCGAAAACTCCCTTATGTATCGGCCGCATGACGGCAGTCAGACAAGTTACTTGTGTGGTGAACAATTTCGTGATTTTTCTTTTCCTGGTTTAATGAACGCCATTCATAGTCTTACTGTTGATACTCTGGGTGGCAGAATGGGTGCAGCAAGTGGCGCCCATCGAATCCTGACCCTGGCTGAGCAGGAACCCAATGGAACGAAGAGCCGCACACGATGGCTGGGGAGAAGAAGTGTCTCTCTGTGCCTCACCACCTCCTCCGGCTCTTTCTCTGGACTCGCCAAGTCCTGGGAGTGAGAGGCCCCGCATGATGGGGGGGCCCGTTGGGGGCCATTTCTCCCTGTAGTAACTTTGAGCCTTTGATTTAAGCATCACTCGAAGGCATTGAGCGGCCTAAGACTCGGTAGTTTAAGCGCATGGAGATTCAGCGCCTCCCGCCAAAAATGCTTCACATGCCTGACTGAATAGTGGTTGGATACTTTTCCAATCGGTTCTGTGATCACATGGAAACTATATCATATGAATATCAATGTGGGACGCACCAGGCGAACGAGGCCGGTTCGGAGATCGTTCACAAATCCGGTGGCCGATGTCACAATAAGTCACAATATGACCTAAGATTACTACACCCATCATGTCGCATCAGGCAACAGACCGAGGCTGCTCGCAGGCTTTGAGGGTTTTGGTTGCTGGACTTTGCGGTTGTACAGAGTTCTGGTCCAGAATTTATTCTAGCTTGTAGTCTCTTGTCTGTTTGAGAGCAACGGGCCGTGAGAGAAACGTTTGCCCTGAAATATAAAGCGAATAATATGGGGTCGCTAGGTATGATTTTAAACTGCAGCCCTTTCTAACCCGAGCCACTGAGATTGAAAGTCTTGCGTCGCCGTTGTAAATGCAGTCAGAAGAAAGTCTATCGAAGTCCTTCTAGGTTCTCACCCTCCCCTGCACCAGAAAAATCAAGTGACAGAGAGAACCAGCAACTGCGATCGATCAAGCACTGCTTGTTGATTCAATCGCATGCACGTCGTTTGGGTCGTAGGTTTCCTTGTATAAGATTCCTGGAAATCTATGCCTGAGCCCTGCATGTACATCAGCGTAGTGTTTTCACTTGTCTAGTTACTAATTAGTTGTCATGGAAAACTTTGGCACCAAACCCACACATGCTACAAGTAACTGCAGGCAGCGGTGAATCATGGTGGCCCGGAAGCGCCCCAAGGACCTCGGCAACAGCCCAATGCATAGCATGCATGCCGATGAGTTTCCTGCATTGCAGTCAGCAGCCAGCATAGCTGAAACCACGCTGCGCTTGACATCGCCAGAGGCCTCGGCAGCCCTGATTGGTCAGAGCCAGAGCACGTGCAATGCGTCGCCATTTAATACGTAGAACGATTCAGCATGACTCTTGAGTCTCTATAGACTTTGGTACAAATCCAAGGCTCCGTACGGAGCATTACCTGTTTCTTAGCTGTTGTGAAACCCTGTGGTTCACAACATTTGATGCAGCCATGGAAACTGGGATAGGACTTTCTACGCTCAGTCACCTTTTTATCATATTTGCAGACAGTTGTAAGTCTGCCAACGTAGCGAGTCCCAAGTTTCCGTGGTGGCAGATCGCCTGAACTCTTAGAGTTGCAGGGATCCTTTTGCCCTTGGAAGGCTGCCAGCCCGCAGGCCCAGCTGAATTTGCTGGCACCTTGCCCTTTAGCTTCATGAGGTTTCCCGTTCGATGTGTGGCCGGCCAGTGCTGCGAGAGAGCTCTTGGATTTTCAGCAGTACTTGGGTGCACGGGTTGCCTGCAAGAGCACATCGTCATGGGATCCATGTCTGCAGAAGTCGGGTGAACGCCACGCAGTCGTGCTGGAAGGAAGGCATCCAGCTGAGTTGGTCGAAGTTTTCCCGAACATAGTTGCCAGATGAAGTTCGGAAACAAGCGAGTTCGTTGCCAATTTCGTGCGATGATTGCAGCAGAACATCATGACCAGATGAGGTCAGCCTAAATTCAAGAAGGAACATGACATGATGGGATTGTTGGGCGCGACTGTGGTTCACACCCAACTCCTTTCGGATCTGCCGGCGCTGAGCCTCCCTTTAACATCTTCATGGAACATCCAAGAACCAAGCGGAACTTCTCAGCTGAACTGCGAGTCTGGAATGCTCCAGCATCCCGGAAACTCAGCGAATCCAGCACAAAAGCACTACAGAATCTGCCTTCTAATCTCTAGCGCTTTCTGACCCCGTCCACGGAGTATGCAGGCGATCAGCGGGCTACCAGTCAGGATAAACCACTAACGCACACAGATAATTCACGGCTCTCATGGAGAATGATGGCAACTGCAAGGACTGAATTTTGCCCTGGGCTCACAAGGGGCATCATGCCTATGAAGTTTCCACAGGAGCCACTGGCAACCTGGTCATCATCTTCCGATGAGAGCGGTTGCCTCTTAGGAGGCCTCGGCTGTGCAGCTTTGTCATTCGTGCCGCTCACCCGATCTTTGCTCAGAGTTTCGTAAGTGCCTGACAGCGAAGGCGGTAGCAAACACTGCCTCGACGAAGGCAATGAAAGAAGAGGCCTTGTGCAGTCTAAAGCCGCATGCTGGAATGATGTCTCAACTTCTCGAAGCTTCCTTGCAACCAGGTAATCCTAATTCGCTTGCACACAGGGATGGCCTAAGTCCCAGCAACAGACAAGCAGGGTTTCGTTTGATGTATCTGTACACGAGGGCATGGCTCCCCCTGCTCAGCTAAGGTCAGTCACCGCAAAGTCGTGTACCTGCTGCTGCCTGCTATGTCTTGACAGGCTCGCTGCCCAAGAGGCCAATGCTCCGGGGTCTAAGATGGGAAGAATGAAGCTGTGCTCGAATCGGAGGTCTTGTGATAGTGACACTCCTGGCCCTCAACGTCGTCTTAGATCTGCCCACAAAGGGCAACCTCAGAGGAGGCGACGAAGTTTGGCAATCGTGAAGTGTGTTCTGTTGAAAAACCCTGCCTGTGGATGTTAGCGGTTTTTGTCACGTCTGCATTAGGACGCAGCCCCTCTGAAGGGGAACATCCTGCACGGCTCTCAGTGCGGGAACAGGTGCTTCTGAACTAAGCACACTCGCTTGCTCACACCTGTGATGTGCCTCTCGGCGGGATGTACATCCTCGGTTCGAGGTCAGTCCTCGAAAGTTTCTCGAGTCCGGACTTGTCTTGAAGGACGACGAGGCTCAACGAACCCAGCTGCTGCAGCAGCACGGTGCAGGGCAGCCCTGTCGTGAGTTTCGGCAATTGGGATATGGAATGAGCAATGGTGACTTTGACCTTGACTAGGCCATTGCCCTCATAGTTGCTCTTGGCTTGCTTAACACTCAGACGGGCAAAGCCCTGAACCCCCCGGCATGCAGCCAGCAGCCAGCGCTTAGGCTTTCGGGTTGAGTGAGAGGTTGGCTGTAGCTGGCGGAGCAGATAGGTCCCAGCAAGGGGGACGGCCTTCGACCTGCGGAAAAGACAAGAAGAGAGAGAGAGAGAGA